CCCGGGTGAAAACATAAATTTATTTCGCAAGCGCATCATCTCTCTGTGTTCTCCTGTGACCGAACTCACACACTCATGGTAGGATCATATCGGGTTCTAAACCAATAAGAGACAGAGCTCGGGCGGGTCTTTGCCTCTGATTGGCTGTGGTCCTGTTCACCGCGCTAAATTGTGTGTGTTTAAAAATTGCGCGCGACCTGAGCGCGAGAGTAGCTGACTAACTGAAACGGAAAAATAAAATAAACGCGACAAAACGAGGGAAAATTAAGAGAGGCAGAAATATTGAAAGTTTTTTCATTAAGAAAACCAAGCCTACAACCAGCCCTACTACTATAATCCCATCCATCCCCACTACTGAGAGTCCATCCCGTCAAGACACAGGGCCCTCGGTTCCTGGTGAGATACCAAGCCCTGGTCCTTCAGCGACAGCATCAAACTCGGAACCAGAGGAGGAGAGAACCGAGTCTGGGATAGAGCCCGGCTCTGAGACCCAAATTAAAAAGGTCAAAATATATTCCTTCAGACAGGACTGGCTGAAACAGTTTCCCTGGCTGAGGTTTAACAAACGACGTAACGCAATGCACTGCGTGTACTGTCAGGAGTGCGGTCAGAATATGGCCGGAAATAGTGCATTCGTGAGCGGGTCAACAACGCTTCATATCGAAACTTTAAAAAAACATAACGTCTAAAAAACACAGGATATGCCGTGGCCCCTCTCCCAGCTACATTTCAGCAGCAGGTAGTAGTAATCATTATTTTATTTTTTTTCATTTTGAATTTATAATGTTCAATTTCAGCTCAGTGAAACACTTTAAACACTTTATTTTTCTTTTTATATATAATTGTGCTTCAAATAAAGACAAGCATTTCTCTACACCTTATTCTTGTTTAAAAATCATTCACATTATATAAAAGTTATGGAGAGCAATAAAAAGGTGACCTTATGGCGTTAAAGGCAACGCGATGAAAAATTTGGGTGCACCTAAAATTTGTGCTGGTGCACCTAAAAAAAAAAGTTAGGCACACCAGTGCAACCAATGCAAAAAGTTAGTCTGGAGCCCTGCACTGGGAGGAGCCAGAGGAACCCGATTCTTTCAGATAATATGACGAAATATTATTATTATATAAAGTTTCCTACTGCAGCTTTAAGCAAATTGTTTAATAGAATAATAGGTAAACATCAGGGAGATGAAAACACTGAATTTTATTTACTGTATCTTATTTAGTCTGTATGGTTGTTAAAGATTATAAAACAAATGCATAATACAAACAGAGAATCTGCTCAAAATGAGTTACTGAGTTCACTGTTTGGGTTCATTGTACAGTTTTGAATATGAAATATCCATAAAATATGTCACTTATTCAGGAGTCATCAGTTTACTAAATGATAGAAAAAGGGTTTCTTAAAGAAAAAGGTTGGGAACCACTGACTTAACGAAAATATTCAAATTGTATTTAATAAAATATATTTAATTTTACTCAAACATCGTCTCAGAACTGGTTTATATTCATTCACAGTTCAACTATTGTTGGACATTTCGGAGGCGAGGAAGGAGAGGAAAAAATGCACCGGGGGAAAACAAGAACCTTAATTTTGTGCTGATTGTGGCGCCCCCTGTGGACAAAAGCGGTAGAGGTTCTAGTGCCTCACTTCATTGATTTCAAGGGGAATCTGACCTGGTGGCAGACATCGATTAATTATTACTATATAGAAAGAGACAATCTTCTCTTCTTCTGTTCCGGTTCACACACCTACTTCTGAACCGTTGGAGCGTTTCTACCAAAAACAACTGAAACTGCTTGTTGAACATCATCTTCATTGTTTAATCTATTATTATATAAAATACAATATAAATATCCATGAGGATGTTTTCATTGGTGTATAATCACCGTCCCGACATTCCTGTTTACTGAACTCAGAGATTCTGATTCTGCCCCCGAGAGCCGTAATGGGGGGGGGTGGTTTTCCCTACGCCGATCTGGCAGGTATAACTCACCGCCCGATGTGACATTTAATCTCAATTGAGCCAAAATGGCCGAAGGCTGTGTGACATTGCAGTGACATTAAGCAGCAGTAATCGGTGAGAAATGGCTCTTCAGAGGCCGCCGCTAACACACACACACACACAGAAACAGAAATACTCTCACTTCACTTTCACTTTATCATCTGTTCTGTGTGTGTGTGTGTGTGTGTGTGTGTGTGTGTGTGTGTGTGGGGAGAGTAAATCCAGCTGAAGTGGGGGACACACTGTAAACAGACGGAGAACAGTTGCATCCATCATACACAATTCAACTGCAATCCTGCTCTCCTCTTTCTCCTCCTCTTTCTCTCCATTTCATTGACATTTTAACTTTTCTTTCCCTCTTTCACTGGAGTCTTTTTCGCCTCATTTCCTCTCTCTCTCTGTCTCTCTCTCTGTCTCTCTCTCTGTCTCTCTCTCTGTCTCTCTCTCTCATTAAACAGAACACGCTGGTTTAGTTCCTCCTCTACAAACAGAGACAGCTCTGCAGCCGCAATCCATCATCTTTACTCCCTAACTAACTTACAAAGGGACACACACACACACACACACACACACACACACACACACACACACACACACACACACACACACACACACACACACACACACACACACACACACACACACACACACACACACACACACACACACACACACACACACACACATTTTAAAGAAGAGAACAGATAAGAACAGCAGCAGCTGTGAGACGGGACGCAGATCTGGACGCTTTGGTCTAATTTATTTGGTTGTTTTTGTGTTTCGGTTGCGGTGAGATACTCGTGTGATTCCTGGAACAACTTCAGCTGCACGGAGGAGAGGAAAACTTCTGCAACAACTTTGGAGTCAAATTAACGTGTTTCTGTGCGCCGGTTCGACGTCCGGCAGAGATTAGCGTCTCCATTACAACAGAGCTCGAAGGTGTGTGTCTTTACAGGCAGAGCGCGTGAACAAAGCGAAGTGAATCACCTCGGCCTTCCTTTCCCTCACTTAGATACTCTGTGGTAGAATGAAAATGAACAATAATGAATGACAAAAATATACAGGCACATTTTAAGCTCGTTAGTGTTAAACTCTGGATATAAAATGTTTAACACTTGTAGAACTGGACTTTTGAGGCTGATAATATCTTTATATTTATTTGAAGTCATAGTAGTAATTTATCTGTTTCCCTCCGAGGATCAATAAACTCTTATCTTGATAGTAGACAGTTATTTCTTCTTCTTACATACAAACACTTTTGATAAAGATCCTCTCAATTTTAGTTATTAATGAATTAACTGAGTGAGAGTTTCTTTAGTGAATCTAATATACGTTTCTATCTTTTACTTATTGATCGACCAATACGCTGATAGATGTGTGACCGATAATCTCAAATATCCCCAGTTCACAGTACCAGTCCGTCCTCAGTGTGTCTCTGTTTCACTCTTTAAAGCGGTTTTATTTACTCCTCAGTGTCGTCTGCTGTTCACCAAACTCTAGCTCTCCTATAACACGCCGTATGGATCGGCACACAGGGGAGGAAACCCAAAGCCAGAGAGCACCAAACACAGGCAGCCTCCTCCACAACAAACGTGTACGTTAATGTATGTGTGAGATATGGATTTTTCCAGAAGCCTGTAGTATTGCAGCAGGGTTGTAACAAGGTGCACATTCGGCCTCTGATGCATTTAATCCGTGAGTCAGTGTGGGGGAGATGCAGAGAGGAGAACACACACAGCTTCAGTCGAATGGGACGAGCATAAAAACGGTGTAAACCCCGGCGCCCCAGTCCAATATAAACCACGCTGATGTGGTACGCCGTGTCAGAACTGCCACGTCTGCTGTCGGTGTAACACACACAAACATTTAAAGACAATATTCTGCAGCTCAACACATCCAGAACTCACAGACTCATCAGCAGCCGACCGAGGGCTGATATATATAATACTGATATTTAACAAAGAGACGTCGTTCTCTAACCCTGATGTACTGATCTGAGCTAATATGTTGATTCAGGTGGAATTTGTATTAATTAATGGAAAAGAAAAATCCATTGAATCATGCTGCAGTCGACTGGTTCCCAACCTGATTCTATTGATCAATAAATAAACTGAACAACGAACCCAAACTGTGAACTAACTGCGGGAAGTTTGTGTTAAACCAGAGATTTGGATGAATTTTGAGCAGATTATTTCCTGTAAATATTGATCAGAGATCAGTTTTACAGATATTGTTTGGAACTTTTTATACAATTCTCTGTCTGTATTCTGTATCTATCTAATGTTTAACAATCAGACAGACAGTGTTTTCTTCTCATTGTTCTATCAGCTCTTGGGTTGTTTGAACTTTTACTGCAGGACGAGGCTGTTTATCAGAGAGTGAAGGCTCTGATGATGATAAGAAGAATAATAAGAAGCATCCCATCAGCCTCAGCTGTACTTTGTGTTTAGTACTTATTAGCAAATGTTATTGAATTTACTTTGTCTCACATTTTTCTGTTTTATTTCTCATTTAGTTTCTGTTTAATGAGCTCAGATGTATTTCTGTGATATTTATGTTTTCTGTTAGGACGGCGCTGTATAAATATTACAGTTCCTCCGTCCATCATGTGACTGCCTACAGCCTGCAGCAGTCAGTAGTATGTTAATCTGATCATTAGAGTTTAGACCCAAATAAAACCTTCAGAGTCGACTGTCAGTCAGACTGTTTGTTAATACTTATCTGTGTGTGTGTGTGTGTGTGTGTGTGTGTGTGTGTGTGTGTGTGTGTGTGTCAGTCAGGAAGAGGCAGGCAGAGAGAGACTGACAATCCCCTGTTGGGATTGGCTGAGAGGCTGCTGATGCATTATGGGAACAAAGTGACCAACAGTGAGGTGATTAGCCTGGAGTCGCCACGGTAATGATGGAGTGTGTGTGTGTGTGTGTGTGTGCGTATGTGTGTGTGTGCGTGTGTGTGTGTGCGTACAACAGGTGGTCATAGTCAGTAAGCAGGTGTTCATCTGCATACTAGTCAACCTGGTAAACCTGTGTGTGTGTGTGTGTGTCTCACCTGTCTCTGTATCAGTGCCAGTGTCTGCTGTCCCTCCGTCATCAGTCTCGCCACAGTTTTTGGATCTTCTATGTTCCTGTTGGCCCTGAAGGCATCACGCACCCGCCGCAGTGCATAGGTCCTGCAAAAAAAACACACACACACACACACACACACACACACACACACACACACACACACACACACACAGACACTTTTAGTTTCATTCAGTCCATTAAAGTGAGAAAACAAAGCGCACCGCAATAAAGAAAAGAAAACAGAGGATAATAAAAATATCAAATATGTGCAGTGGAGACAGAAACCCCCTCTGAGGATTTATAAAAGCAAACAACAAACAAACACAAAGTTAAAAACACAGAAACCTCAACAGAAAGAAAACAAGATGAATTAGTGCAGATGAGATCCAAACAAACCTGCAGGCAGCGAACCAACAAACAACAACTGCAACAAGTCGAGTCACTAATGTGTTTCACAAACACTGTACCCTGAATATATATATATATCTCATTTATATTAGCACACAGAAAGTTTCAAAACAGCGTGAATGTGCTTCTAGTGACTATAAACCCTATTAAATACCATCTAATAATTACAGTTGCTGAAACAACCAGATGTGCTTTTTTTCTGGGAATATTCATTTTAATTTGCAAAAAGTTTAGTAGAAATATTGTATTTTTCAGAATAAAAGGCCAAAAAAATGAATATTGTATGCATATAGTGATGCAGTCACTGTCTCCCATGTAGGTTTGTATTACATTGGAGATGCATTTGTACATGTATTTTTAATGGATGTAGCCTTGGAGATGTAACCACAGCGCTCTCTCCAACACCAGAGCCAACAGACGATCTCCGAGTCTTTGAACATCCGTCTTCCTCTTCCTCAGCGAACTAACTGGGAATCCTCGACACTCCCAATCCTGGACCAGTTGTTGGTACTGCCACACTTCCCCATGAGACGGTTAGTTCCTCCAGGAGGACTTTCTTTCCCTCAGGAAACCACATGGCAACGTCTGGACAGTAAAGCTTCCGGGAACAAGAGTGTTCTCCCCAGCTCGACCTCCAGCTCCCCGGGTCGGCTCTAACCCTGGACGACCTCTGACCTTCTCTTACGAAGGAGTTTAAATAAGTGTGTTCAGTGTGGATATGAATATATTTCTGTGACGGGCAGTGTGAATTGTTCTCTGTTTCTGCAGCAGACAGCCTCTCAGAACAGCAGCTGGTGTAAAATCTGAACGTGGGCGTTAGAAATCTGTCAAACTGGACGTCAGTAACCTCGAATACCGACAGCACCGGACACGCTCACTACTTCCTGCTTGTGTTTTCAGCTTCAGGCGAGCGCAGCAACAAACTACAGACGAGGAATTAAATGAAAACAGACAAATTGAAAACACTGAAGTTATTTCTTGGCAGGAAGCTGCTGAAGTGAAAACGATTTTTGGTTTAATTTCTCAGATTTTTTTCCTGATAGACTCGGGGCCTCGTTACAGCTGGCAGCTCCTCTGATGTCGGGAAAAACTACAACATCGACCTTGGGAAGTTACGGCGCTGCCCGGCGAACACATTCATCTTCCCTGTCTGTCTTTGTGTCCCGAGCTCATTTAGGATTTAAGACAGAACCAATAAAAGTGTGATGGATCTGATTTACATGCTGTGGTTAAATACGAGGAGCGCCGCGAGGACGTGGCGAGGGAGCCGGGTTTGGGTTGGTTTGAAGGTGAGACGGAGAAACTGGGGGAGGGAGGATGGAAGGAAGGAAGGAAAAGAGAGAGGACAGAAGAACTTAAGAGGGTTTGGAGGAAGGGAAGGATGAAAGGATGAGCATCAACAGGGTTCCCACTCTTTAAGAAATCATTCTCCAGGACTTTTCCAGGTGTTTAGTAGGAGGAAGGAGGCAAAGAAAGAAGAGGAAGTAGGGGTGGGCGATATGGGCAAAAAATAATATCTCGTTATTTTTGGGGGATTTTGGCGATAACGATAATCAGTCGATATCCTTTCAAATGTGATCGGGCTTGTGTCCACCAAACGTGTTTTTAGCGCTGAGAGCTCAAAAACTCATTTTCCGAGCGCCCTGCGGGGTTAAAGGTTGAACAGATTTTAACTTGAAGTGCTCTGAGCACTAAAAAAGTCTTTACGAAACCAAACCATTTCCATGCCAGAGAGGTAGACCCACGTCTCGGCACTGAATCATCTGAAGTACCGGTAGCTTCAGGGACTGGAGGTGTTTGCATTTTCTCTCTACCATCACAACGTGCTGCTAAACTGTTGCAAGGAGGACGCTAGCGAGAGGTCATGTGATCACGTCATGTGATCACGTAGGCCCACTAGTCATGTGACTGAATCCTGCCATGCTGTAGAGAGCGCTGCTGCACCGTGTATTAATGGATGTGAGGAGTTTCTGTGTGCGTTTCAATATTTTTGGCAATTTAAATACTCCATAATGGAAATTTGCACATCGTCAAAACAACGATGACGATATTATCGCAAACGATATATATCGCCCACCTCTAAGAGGAAGGGAAGGAAGAAATGGAGGAAGTCAAAAAGGAAAGAGGAGAGGAGTGGCATGTGGAAAGGTAAGAAACTGGGAAGGGGAGAAGGAAAATAGAAAAGAGGAAACAGGGAATAGGAAGGATGAGCAGAAGGCAGCAAACAAGGATGGAAGGAAGCAATGAAGGAGGTAAAGAAAACAAGGAAAGGATGAAGTGAACAGAGAGGATGTGAAGAGTGTAAACAAAGACAGAAAACATTCACCGATGATTGTGTTTGTATTGGTTTTATTAGAGGCGGAGGGAAACGTGTGTGAATGATTTCAGAGAAACTTCAGAGGGAATTCTCTCGTATGATCTCTGGAGGAGGAGGAAGAGGAGGAAGAGGAAGAGGAAGAGGAGGAAGAGGAGGAGGAAGATGAGGAAGAGGAGGAAGAGGTTTCCACGATCACTTATTAACCACAAGCTTTTGTCACACTGTCATAGGCTGACAGCTTTTCACCACACACACACACACACACACACAGTCAGATGATGGCATTGTGTTTGACTGAATCCATCGGGGAGAGTTATTTTTAATAGAGAGAAAGGAAGAGACATAAGGAGGACACACAGGAGAGAGAGATAGAGAGAGAAAGACAGAGAGAGAGAGAGAGAGAGAGACAGAGAGAGAGAGACAGAGAGAGAGAGAGAAAGGGAGAGAGAGAGATAGAGAGAGAGATAGAGAGAGAGACAGAGAGAGAGAGAAAGACAGAGAGAGAGAGAGAGAGAAAGGGAGAGAGAGAGATAGAGAGAAAGGGAGAGAGAGCTAGAGAGAGAGAGAGAGAGAGAGAGAGAGAGAGAGAGAGAGGGAGAGAGAGAGAGAGAGAGAGAGAGAGAGAGAGAGAGAGAGAGAAAGGGAGAGAGAGAGAGAGAGAGAGAGAGAGACAGAGAGAAAGGGAGAGAGAGAGCTAGAGAGAGAGAGAGAGACAGAGAGATAGAGAAAGGGAGAGAGACAGAGAGAGACAGAGAGAGAGAGAGAGACAGAGAGAAAGGGAGAGATTTTTTTGATTTTTGAACAATACTTTATTTACATTTAACTAACTGTAACAAACAGTTCCACAATCAATAGATCAGTTGAGGAAGGATGTGAACTTTAACTCTCCACCGGTCACCCGGCACAACAGCTCCTCATGAGCCCACTGCTGCTCAAACACATCTGTATTCCCTGTGATCCTGTGGAAGCAAAACTCCAGCCTCAGTCTGGCCTTCACATTGTACCTCCACAGGGTCACAGGGTCAAGGGTCGGCCCACCCTGCAGTCTGTCCCTACGAGTCAGGTATATCGACATTTTAGCCTCACCAATTAAAAAGTTTAGGAGTCGACACTTTACTTTTCCTGTTTTTTTAAAACCGACTCCACAAATAAAAACAGGGGCAGTAAAAATGACACCAAATAGATTAAAAACACGAGTTAAAACGTTAAAAATGTCTGCCAATCTCCTGCACTCAGTAAAAACATGGAAAATGTTCTCAGTCAGTCCACAGAATGGGCACTCCTTTACAACACTGTGATTAAGAACAGATAAAAAGGCATTGGTGGCAATGGCACCATGTAAAATCCTCCACTGGAGATCTCCAGTTCTTTTTTTTAGAGGAGGTTTGTATAATGTTCTCCACTGGGGGCTCAGCCCACCCAGCCTCTCAGTCCACACACACTGCGCTCTGTCACACAGGCGAGTTTTGTGGATCGTTTTTACACAGTTTGTGTACAGAGTTTTTTTGTCAGTCTTGTGTAGGCTCAATGTCCTCCCATCATTGTGTCTCAGGAGGGGGCCGCTGAGCTCTGTGAAACCAGGGCACAAGTAGATCTCGGGATAAGGGTCTGTGGGGTCCGGCTCAGCCTCTCCCCTGCCGTATTTGAGGAGAAGGATTCTCTCCTTCTCCGTCAGCCTCCTCCTCCAGAGCTCTAGGCTCCTCTGCATCAGCCGGACAGAGCGCACCCCCAGCACAGAGCCCAGAGAGTGGACATCTGTGAGCTCTGGTCCTGCTGCATCTACCAGTTGTTTGAGGCAGACAACTCTTGAGCTGCACAGCACCCCCATCAGCCCCGGCACGGTGCTGCAGCACACGTCCATCTTTGCACCACAGATTATAGGCTCCTTTAATAACCAGTGCAGAGAGTTACACTTCTCACTTCTTTTACATTTAAAAAGCCCCCAGGATTTAAAAACACCCTGATAAAAAGGAGGCAACCCACCTAACTTTAAGAATTTAAAATCAGTTAAAAACAGAGCAGCATCCAGCCCCAGGTTATTGACACGCCTGAGTATGCAGCTGGCCACGTCTCTCCACACCAGATCTTCAGGTCCAGTCAGATACTTTTGAATGAACTGGAGCCTGAAGGTGGCTGTCCTGCTAGCCAGGTGGACCAGGCCCTGGCCCCCCTCATCTCTGGATAAAAACAATACAGACTGTGGTATCCAGTGCGATTTGTTCCAGAAGAAATTGACAATCTTCACCTGGATCTGGGCAATGAGACCTGTTGGAGGGTCCAGACAAGCTAACCGGTGCCATAACATGGAGGCCACCAGATTGTTTAAAATTAGGACCCTCCCTCTAAAAGATATTTGTGGGTGAAGCCACCTCCACTTAG